GTTATGCTAGTACTGTTGACATGCTTGGATTGCAGTAACTATTGGATCTGAAGCAAAAACAATGTTAATAAGTAGCATTTGATGAGCTGTTTTAATTTTTTATTTTAATTATGAATATATTAAATATTCACCAACTATTGCAATTTGACATGTAGTATCTTTTGAAACCCCTAGGCCTAAGAAGAATTCTGCCAGATCAAAAGAGAGGGCTCTATTATATAGGCAGAATCCAGATTCTTACTGAAGCCAATTGGATGCTTGTAGGAAGCCCACAAGTAAGGTATGAAAGAAAAGGTACTCTGCTACTCATGCTCCCTAGAAAATATTGTAAGATTATATTTGTTCTGACAATGGTATATAGCAGACATGTCAAACACAAGGCCTGGGGGCCGGATGCGGCCTGCAAAATGGTTTCATGTGGCCCACGAAGCCATCCTGGAAACAGTGAGGGAACGGCCCTCGCTGCCTTGGCCCTGGCCCAGGCCAGCCAGGAGCCACTGTACAATTTTGTGGTGGTCATCTATGCTGAAACGCATTCAGTCTTAGCTCCACAAGGCCGTCTGCAAACAGCGAGGAACCAGCCCCTGCCGCATCGGCCCCGTCCCCTGGGTGCATGCTGGGGAGGTGTCACCCATTGTGAGGAATGAAGAAATGGACCATACCTTGGCGCTTGCCCCGATCCCACCCCCTTCTGCCAGAGACCCTCAGATCTGTCCCACTCCTGCCAAGGCCCCCACAGGCACCCTTAATGCAAACGATGTAGAGCTGGCCATGCCCACCCAGTAGGCCGCACTCACCCTGGCCACACCCTCCTGGCCCCCCGAGGGCAACTGCAATGCTGATGTGGCCCTCAAAGAAATTGAGTTTGACAGCCCTGGTATATAGCCATCACGACTAGAACCTTTTGGTAAAGCATTATGTCTCATGAATTTTCCTAGTTTTTTTGTGGGAGTTTTTTATGAGTTCTTTTAGGCTGGTGGCCGTCACTGCACCTTATGATAGAACATTCCATAGTTTAGTTGGATATGGATATCATTGGGTGTGAAGCAAAATCAATATGGTCAAGTAGGGTTTGATGAGCTCTCTAATTTTTCATTTAAATTATGAATGGATTAAGTATTTGCCTGTTGTAAATTATACTGTCAAAAGAGAACTTAAATTTACATTGTCTAAGGAAGAGCCTCCTTTGGGGAGTCTTGAAATAGTCTATAACTCAGCTTGGTTAGACGATTCTGAGTTCAATCAATCAATCCAATCCAATTCATAAGATTATGAGAAAAGAACAAAAATACTTTTTAAAAAAATATTTTATTAATTTTCTAGTTTTGCAATCGTAAGTACTTAATAAACAACATGTTGTCTGAGTCCATTAGTAATTCAGTGGTACATATTCATTTCCTCAATCTACTGTAGATCCAATACTACACCATCCAGTGCTTCCTCTCTTCTTCCGGTGGTACAAATTTTTCCACACTAGGCAAATGCAATTCTTATTGCTGTTAATACATATACAATTGAATATCAACATCTTTATCACATTTTTCTAATATTATACATATTAATAGTATCAGTTTAAAATATCTTTTCTAATCAAAACATCTCAACTGCATTTGCACTTAAAATCTATTTGTTCAATCAATATCCTGTTTTTCCTACTTTTTTAAAATTTTGATTTCCCATCAATGTTCAAAGTCTTTCTATAGCTTATAATTTTCTCATAACAAATTATATTTGGGTAACCAAAAACTTCCCATATTCAGACCCTCTTAGCATTTTCATATTTCCCTTCTCATACCAAAATATAGTATTCTAGTTGCAGATCCTATCTTTCTAGTTATAATAATACTTTTATTTCCAAAAATTATCTATTCTCTTAGCCATGTTCAAACATCTATTTAATAATATAATATTCCATCTACTGGGTCAAAATCTCTATTTTCTTCAGTCTTACTCCAGCTTTCTTCCTTTGCCAACTAACTTTCCAAGTCAAAGCATTTGAATCATCAGAGGGTTCTTCTATTTTTGTGTATATTGTTTGGAATAAGAAAGACAATTTGATTAAAGTATTTTTGGAAGAATGATCAGCCAATTTATATTCATTAAACAGCCTCCCTCCTTCTCCAATTTTCCACAATTCTCCTAATAGCTTTATCTTCCGTTCAATCAGTTCTTCTTCCTTATCGTCAAATGTGTTCTGAGATCATGATGAGTAAGATATTTTTTCTTTTCCAGTATTATCGCTACGTCTTCTAATTCTTCATTTGTCTGAGTCTGTCTGTTGATTCCTTCCTTTAGGTCCTCCATCTTTGGATGCGCTTCCTCTAATTTTTCTTCTATTTTCTGAGTTACTAGTTCCTTCTTTGTAGTCATTTTCTGAATTTGTAGGTTTAGATTAGAAAATTGTTCTTTTATCTCCTTTGCATTATTTTTAGTCTCATCATGAGCTAAGGCAATTGTCTCTTGTATTGATTTCAACATAGAATTTCTTTCTGAGATTCATCAAAATTTTCTTGTTGGTATATCAAGCTGGGGGCTTTGAAGACAAGTGTTAGGGATGTTTTTTACCATTTAAGGCTAAGTATGGAATATCCATTTTGTTTTTATATGTGGTGTTTATATTCCAATCTATTTAGGGATTTAAAAAGTTTCAGTCAATTGTCATTTGAACTCCAAATTATTGAGCCAGCCTATCAGTCCATCCTTAAGGCTCCCCTAAACAAATGTAAGCAAAATTCAAGTTTTTGTGTCCAATGAAAAACATATCCTTTCTATCCAGAGAGAAAAAAGCAATTAAAAGTTGTTAATCAATCAATCAAAGGTTTATAATCCAAAGTATTCTATCATCTCAATCAGTAATGCATGTTTCTTCTATAGGGAAATAGCTCCATGACATAGCTCTAAAAGTCAGTATTTGTATTTGTAATCCAGGCAGGACAGATTCAAAATAGTTTATTGTCTCTGCCACACAGAAAAGTAACTGAAGGGGTTTTTTCCCCTTTCCCAGCTGCAACTTTTAAAAGTGAAAGTTTTCAAGGATAACAAAAGTCTTATTTGAGTTTGGACTTCAAGCCAAGTTTGCTTTAAACATAATAAATTGTAATGCCATGGTTTGCCACTAGATGTTGTTGATGCAATCTTCCAGCTTTTTAAATCCAAACTTTTATTGCAAGCTTTTCAAGTCTCTTTTCTAAAAAAGTCTCAAAAGCACTTTTGGTCCCCAAATTTCAAAGCTATATATCTGTATTTATTCAAAATTAATCTTGTAATTTTCTCTGTTTTCCCCCAAGCAATTAGTTCGCCGCTTTTCTTTTCCTGAGGGAATGGGGCGAAAATTCCCCCTTTCTCTCTCATCGGGGGGATTCTTTGCTTTGGGCAGTTTTTTCCAGGAAAAAGTCTTAAAGTCATAAAGAGAAGATAAAGTCTCCAGTTCCAGCCACGTTCCTCAAAAGTTGCTTATTAGTGCTTATTTTCTTCGGTTGTCAGCAGCTTCTGACTGGCCACACAAATGTGATCAACAAGGGTCCCCTCCTTCTTCGCTGCCTCTCTGGGGTGACTTTCAACCCTTTTTAGAGTCCTCAGCAGGGCGAAATCGAACGTGGAAGACAGAGCCCCATCTTCCTGAACCTGTTACACTATGATGCCTAACCGGAAGCCCAAAACAAAAATACTTTTTAAAATTCACAACCTTCATACCTTGGGAATAAAAAAAAAATCAAATAAAGCTTCGCACTTTGCATTAGAAAGAAAGCCTACAACTAATATTTATTTTCCCTCAATTAATGATATATTTCAATTGCAAACTATCCAAAAGTAATTGTGAAAATATTTTTTTATTAATGAAGCTTCAGAGCAAATATGAGGATGTTCTATTTGAAATTGACTTAACATTCTCCAGTTCTTTTTCTTTCTTTCCTGTGGATCTTAGTTTTACCCAAAGCTTTCCCAAAATATCTCTGAAGTGATAATTTAAATAATTTAAAAAAAAAAATCAGGGAGGATGCCGGGTGGCTGGTTTATGGAACCTTAACACATCTTTCACAATTCCTAAATTCCTCATTACAAATGAAAATGTGATCTTTTCTTAGAAATCCTGCTGATTGACATTGGACATATTTCTGTGAAATACAAATTTGTGTAACATTTGAGTGATTTATTATTTCAAATTGTAGTGTCCAGCAATGTTAAGATTTAACTCATCTATAGATTTGGTCTTCGTGAGAGGCAAAATGAACCTGTCATCTCAGATGGATGAACATATCTCATAGAGATTCTTCAGAGATACCTATATATTCTTGCCTGGCACTGCCTGTCTATCATGGAATGCCAGTGCCTGCTGACCAATAGTCTTATCCTTTCAGAAGGATCCCTGAAAACAAAAACAGCTGGTTGCTCAAGCAAACAGTGATGGGTACTTTCCGGCAGATAGAGTGCCATTGTTGAAAAGTGATTGATTGGCAGTACAATGGGTGCCCAGAAAAGCTCCAAGGATAGTCTTCTTGTTCAATGCAAACTGAGCAGGATAGTAGCTAGTAAGTTTCTTGTTGTGCAGGATAGTAACTAGTAAGTTTCTTGTTGTGAGAAAGGACTCCTTGAAGCATATGTGTTGCCTCGTCTTGACTTCACAACCAACAGACACAGAGTCACCACGTCAGGAACGAAGAACTTCAACTTTATTACAGAAAAATAATGGTTTAAAGTCAGCACTAACAACCATTACAGTCATGGTTCTTTTATACAATTCAAAGAGACCCCGCCTAGCCCACAACCACGCTAACACCCATGCACCTCCACCCTCTGCCGGACCACCTAGTTTCCCATATATGGTCATCCATCCCGATTATGCTAGCCTTCAGTTGCCGCCTCCCGACGCTTCCCGACGCTTCGACAGCTTCCTGATGCTTCGGCAGCTTGTAATGCTTCAATTACTGTCATTAGATTCATCCCGGTGTCCGCGCATGGGTACTGGGCATTTCTAGCCCTTCCGACCGTCTGCGCGTGTGCTGTAGTATCCTGGCCGTCGTCCGCACATGTGCAGAGCCAGCGAGGCCAGCTGGCTGTTGGAGCGTCTTCTGCGCATGCCCGCCAATCAGCTGAATGTCGGGCAGTCGAGACGCGCGCCTGGAGAGTCGGGGCGCCTTCAGAACAGGTAACCGGGGCAGCCTCTGCTATGGCCCGACAATATGTTGATGGGTGAGACTGCTTTTGGCTGTGGGATCAAAAAATTAAAATCCAAAGCAATAAGAAAAGCAGGAAGAAAATATTTGTCTTCCCAGTACTGGCTGTGAAATACCTTGTATCCACCAATATGCAGTGCAAAGACTGGGAAATCATTAAGTGTTTCTAAAAAATATTTTCTTAATGAAAAGGAGCCTGCCATTTTGGATGGAAACATTAGAATTGGCAAGGCCAGTCCTTTCCCTAGTTACAGGACTGTTCTCTTCCTCACTTTCTGCAGCCGATGTGAACTGACGTCACCTCTTGAGCCATTGACAAATTCTTTTGTGTGGCTTGAATGAAGAAGTAAATTGATCCCAGCAGAGACTTACTGCGCTCACAAGGAGCAGAAGCCGCTGCTCAGCCAGCTTAGAGGGGGCATTAGCTATCCTTTGCTATTGCACACATCTTGACATCCAAATCATTAACAGCCAGGAATTGTTCACACCCAGCAAGATTTCTTTTGCTCTTGACTCGGTGCCCTGAGGCCTTTTAAATTAGCAGCTAAACATTAATTAAGAACATTGATAAAACCAATATTTTCTCAAGGAAGCTCAAAAGAATTGTGCAGAGATTGGAAAATCGCTGTAGTTTCCAAACACAGAAGGGCATTTTTTCATTGATGAAAGAAGAAAAGAAATCCTGCATAGTCATTGGAGGATGTGGGGCAAAGATTTTGATACAACTAAGTGAGAATGCAATCGCCAATTTCCATTATTGCCTGTCTATTTAAGCTGTTTTTTTCTTAGTCTATCAACAACGCTGTTTAAAAAGACTGGGGATGCTTGAAGTTCCTGGTAGTCACTGATAAGATGATTCTCTGGACCAGTGTTTCTCATAGCTTCTTATAAGAAGTCCACACATCTGAAAGTTGCTGAGGTTGAGAATCACTGCTCTGGACATTAATCAGCTGTCAAGACAGCAGCAAAGTGGGAAGTTGGGGCCCAATATCTTGTTTATACATACTGCAAAATATGGGCAGGACTGTTTACCCATCAGGGGGTAATAACAAGACTCCAGAGCATGGGTGTCAAACTTGACCATGTCATGTGACAAATCGTGATGTATTGTGACATTTTTTGCCTTTGCAGAGCAGGGGTGGCTGCTCTGCAAAGGCAGCCACCCCACAGGGTGCATCCGGCCCACAGGGTGCATCCGGCCCACAGGCCACCAGTTTGACACCTCTGCCCCAGAGCATACACACAATACACAAAACCCGCAAGGCCTGGAATTCAATACCTCTGGAACTAAGCAAAAGTTGCTAAGAGGAAACTTACTAATTACACAAAGAATGTGACACTAATAAGCATTTAACTGAAATGCAAAACATTTTGATGCTGACCCCGCTCATTTCAAAGGTCTTGAATGTGACAGTGTGACTAGGATCAGATGCATTTCCAGTATGCCATGTAACACCACTACTGTATGAATTGCACCTGTTACCAGTGCTCTTTCAGATGCAATTCAAAGGGCCAGTGGTCGCTTGTAAAATTCCTCCTGGCACAAAACTTGGATATTTGGAGGACCATGGACCTCCAATTGCCTGCCCTACAAGAACAGATAGGCATGTTCTATGTCCCATTAAACATTAATTTTATGGAATCCAGAAGAGGTGACTTTTCTTTGCATGACTTGCCCTGTGGGACATTGTTTCCCTTGAGATTCAGATCGAAGAAGAAGAAGAAGAAGAAGAAGAAGAAGAAGAAGAAGAAGAAGAAGAAGAAGAAGAAGAAGAAGAAGAAGAAGAAGAAGAAGAAGAAGAAGAAGAAGAAGAAGAAGAGGAGGAGGAGGAGGAGGAGGAGGAGGAGGAGGAGGAGGAGGAGGAGGAGGAGGAGGAGGAGGAGGAGGAAGAACCAACTTTGCTTTACAGAATTTGTTCAACTTGGTTTATGGACTTTTAGGGGATGCATAAGACACTAACCTAATAAAATGGGCTTGGTTGGCACAATGTACTCAGCTTCCAAAGTTAAAGAACTTAGCTTTAACCAAGTTTAGCATGTTGTATGCTACACCTGTTTGGCCTTCTCCTGATTTTGAGAAGTGTGCTACTGTATATGAATACAACCACTGTGCTGTCTGTGGAGAGTGGCTTTCTCACTTGTTTGAATCCCTTTTCTTCAATGTACTTGAGGTATATTGGTTTATTTATTTTTTTGGTTTCCTCCCTTTGCTCCCAATATAATTCACTCTTGGGAGGTGGGGAGATAGCATAACATTGTACATGGAAGGATGTGTTCCCTTTCTTAAACACATTCATGTCAGTATGGCATTATCAATTTTGCTCAATATCAGAAAAGCCAAATGAATTTTGAAAGAGAGCAAATCTTTCCATTAAACTCTTCTTAATGAAAAAGTGATTGGTTTGTCTGAATTAATTTAATCACAGCAAAATATTTCTTTTTGTTTCCCTGGCCATATAACACGAGGACCCTTTGGTGGAAAAGAACACACCAGTGCAGTCTTTAAAAAGAGTTTATCAGTGACCACAGAAGGATTGTTTTTAGAGAAGTAATCATATCAATCTATTGTCACAAAAGAATCTTGTAGCACTTTAAAGACTACCAGATCTATTAGGATATAATTTTTCATGTTCTACAATCTATCCATCATTGTGGTTTTTAATAACACTATGTTCTTTTGTATGGTAATTACTCCCAGCTTTCTGTTGGCATGCTATTTATCTAATACACCTCTGGAAAACCTAATAAAGTAAAAGGCTGTTTCTCTAATTGCAACGTTTGACATAGTTTGTGGGAAACTTAAAGCTGTCACTAACTGTCATAAAGCTTATACTAGATTTCACAATAAGGATGATAGAGATGATGGGTCAGAGACAAAGGAATGTGGCTGAGAACCAAATCTGCCAGCAGAAGGACTAATGAAAAGGTGTATAGACCATATTTTTGATTTCTTACTATTAAAAGCAGGAAGGCAATCCAAAAGGTTACAAAAACAGAATATTTTACTGCCTTAATGGAAAGAGCAACTTTCCTTCTTAATCAAGAACACTGATAAGAACTTAAAGATTTATAAAAGCCTTTAATCTAGCATAATTAAGACACTGAAAACCAACACTAAGGTGACTGGGAATATGCTTCCATGGCATTTGGAAAATTTCCCCAAGAAAATAATTCTATAAACAAAGCTCTCTTACCTGAGAAGAGATTCTTCCTTGTGGGCACATTCTATTGCTATTTAACAAAAGCATCCAGACTTCACCGTGGATATGAATTTTTCCAGATGCAGTGAGTGACAATGCGGATAATTCTGCAACTGAAATTCCATAGCAAAATAGTTTACCAACAATTAACTCCTGAGGCCCAATTTGGAGGCCTGTTTGAACATTGCAAATAGGCAATTTAAGATGCTTTCCCAGCTTTGGGTCCAATTTGGGTTGTATCTGGCCAGTTGCATACTTTACTTTTCATCTGCATCCTGATGCAGTTGCATTATTCTTAGCATGTGATGTTTCTTTTCATTCCCATGAGTTGATGTCTGTTTTTGCAACTTTCCTTCCTTGTCTGAGTTTGGGATTGGCTGTAGTTGCCTGTAGTTGGTGAGAAACATGCAAAGGGTTTTGGCTTTGCAGGAGATTACATAACCTCTAAAGTATTATGAGCTTCCAACCAGTCTCAAATCAATTAGTAGTTCTACCACTGTCAGAAACAATAAAAATGTACAGAAGTGTAGCAGAAGTAAACATGAACAAGGCAAAAGACTAATAAAAAAAAGAGCCAATTTGGTCTACTGGTTAAAGCACCAGACTAGAAATCAGGAGACAGTGAATTCTAGTCTTACCCTAGACATGAAAGCCAGCTGGATAACCTTGGATCAGCCACTCATTCACAGACCAACTCACCTCACAGGGTTGTTGTTGTAGGGAAAATAAGAGGAGAAAGGTGTGTTGAATATATTCGCCACCTTGAGTTATTTGTAAAAATAATAAAGGCAGGATACAAATTAGTTAACTGATTAGTTCACTAAAATAAAAGACCAATTTTCTACACCATTACAAATGAGCCTGGATTCACTGCTGCTGTGAAAATTAATCCTGATTCATGGCCACAGAGGGAACTAATATTGATCTAAATGCCCGTATTGGTAACAACCAACAAGGCTGGGGAAATATCCTGGCAAATTTGGTGCTGGAAAGATGAATGACAGTGGCCTGTGTCTGGCATCATTTGCAGGAACAAATGTGCTAACACATGGAAACAGCTTATTTCAATATCCACTAAAACATTAATTAACATGGTGTTTTTGCTGACAAAAGGGCACAGCAGTCCTCAACTATTTCTTAATTGCAGTCATTTCTGAACATCCCTCATGGATGTCAGATTAATGAGAGACACCAACTGTGGTTCTGACCATTTTGTAAGTGGAATCCCTGAACTCTCATTGAAATGAATTGCTCGTAGTGTAGCCTCACTGAACTATTACGGATGGATGAAGTTACAAGACTTTGCTTGCAAATAACAGATCCAATCGATGCTCATCAACCAATACGCTGTCCTCAAATATCTGGAAAATATAAATGATTAAATGTTACAATTCTCAGAAATAATTAACAAATGTGCTAAGGAAATTTGTTCTGTAGCATGATGAAGAACACAACTCTGGATTGTGTTCGCCATCTGTAGTAAATGAATGAAGACAGTGCAGACTCAATACAGTTAACATGTGTTAATATCGTAAGTCCATATTCATGTCAGAGCAAAATGGAATGTTTACAGCATTGGAATAGCATTGCAAAAAAGCTTGAAGAAGCTACAAGTTGTCAAAAATATCTCAGCCTCATTACTAACTCAGAGATAACTTTCAATACACGAATGAGAACATCAGAAAGGCAGATGGCACTTTTGTATGATCTGGAATGGAATAACTATTTTTTTTTTTTTTTTTGCTGCAAGTATTTCCATCTTTTTTTTTACAGCTATCTTTTTCTTGGAAGACAATAGAATCACCAGTTGTCAATAGTCCAGATGGAACTGTTGAAGAATGTGAGCCCAGGATCTCTGAAACAATAGCTGCTATCTATCGGTTAAAAAGTGGGAAAACTGCTGGGATAGATAAGATCATTGCAGAAGCACTTAAGAATATATTGCAAGCTCCATTCCTTCAAATAATCTGACAGTCTGAGAAAATACCAAATTCATGGAAACTGGGAATAATAAGTACCAATTTTCAAGAAAGGAAACATTCATGACTGAAAAATCACCATAGGATTAGCCTGTTGTCAACTATGTGCAAGGTATTTATTTATTTAGAGATTAAATAAATTAAACTTTCCAGTTGAGACTCTAGAAAGAGTGCAGAGAAGAGTAACAAAAATGATTAGGGGGTTGGAGGCTAAAACATATGAAGAACAGTTACAGGAACTGGGTATGTCTAGTCAAATGAAAAGAAGAACAAGGGGTGACATGATAGCAATGTTCCAAAACTTGAGGCGTTCCTACAAAAACGAGGGGTTCAAACTATTTTCCAAAACATCAAAAGGCAAGATAAGAAACAATAATTGAAAACTAACCAAGGAGAGAAGCAACCTAGAACTAAGGAGAAATTTCCTAACGGTGAGAGCAATAAACCAATGGAACAGCTTGTTATCTTTAAATCCAGGCATTGCAATGGAGTCATGATGCTAAGCAAGTGGGTTACTTTGGTTTTTTAAAGACATTGATTTGGTGCGAAGGCAATTCTGGTGGCCAAGAATGAAAAAAGACATTGAGAGTTATGTTAAGAATTGTGCCACTTGTGCTGCCATGAAGAGGCATCCTGGAAAATCACCAGGTTTATTGCAGCAGGCGTCTGATCCCTCTCAACCTTGGGAGGAGATAGCCATTGATTTTATAGTGGAATTACCTGAGAGCAAGGAAAACACTGCAATATGGACTGTGATTGATCTATTTTCCAAACAGGCATATTTCATTGCTTGCTCGGGACTTCCCTCTGCCCAGAAGCTAATCAAACTATTTTTGAAGCACATATACCGACTCCATGGTGCCCCATAGTGGATTATCTCTAACAGAGGGGTACAGTTTACTGCAAAATTTTGGAGGGTCCTCCCAGGGGCTATCATCAGCTTTTCATCTGAATACTAATGGAGCTGCTGAGAAGGCTAAAACAATGGTGGAACAGTACCTCAGATGCTATGTAGATTACCAGCAGGCTAATTGGGCTGACCTCCTGCCTTTTGCAGAGGTAGCCTACAACAATATGGTGCACAGTAGCACTGGATTCACCCCATTTAAAATAGTAACGGGTCGAAGCCTCCTACTTCCCAGACTCTGGACCAATGGGTGACATCCTTCCAGGGGGTTTGGGTGAATGTGAAGAAGGCATTGATCAAAGCTATCAAGGTTTACAAAGAGCAAGCAGACAAATGATGCTCTCCTCAGAAACCTTTTCAGGTTGGACAATTAGTTTATCTTTCAATGAAATATTTAAGGTTAAAATTACCCAGTAGAAAATTGGGGCCAAAATTCCTTGGTCCTTTTCCTATTGCTAAAATCATTAACCTTGTCACAGTGGAACTGAAACTACCACAATTGTTGGGGAAAGTTCACCCTGTGTTTCAATGCAGTCTATTGAAATCTGTGTCAGAATCCTCTTTGAGACAGGCCTCAAAGAAGCCACTGGGTCCAATGGTGGTGGAGGGGGAGACACATTATGAAATAAAATGTATTCTCAATTCTAGGTTGTACAAGGGAAAGTTACAATACCTTGTTCAGTGGAAAGGTTACCCCCTTTTGGAAGCTACCTGGGTGAAATGTACAAATGTGAAGCAGATTGATTGATAAAAATGTTTTATGATAAATACCCTCACAAGCCTGGAGGGAATGCTTAACCTGCTTTTTTTTTCCTGCAGGAGACTCTTTCTTTCTGATGGGGAGCCGACAGTCAACTTTAAAAATGAGCATGGCTGCAACCATCTTCCTTATTCATTTTCGGTTGACATATTGATTGCTAGGTGGTTCACAAGTCTAAATAACTCTTTGTCCCAAGGGAACCAAGGTCATCGGCTGCTCCTGAGACTGCAGGCTGGGCGTTTTGTGAAAAGCCCACCAACAAGATGTATTGGGAAACATAGTTGCTTGCATAGCCTTAGGGGTGGAATTGTTATGTGTGTCTTCAGACTTGGTTTCACTTTTGACATACTGATACTTTGTAACTAATAAACATGTTCTTTGAGGAATTTGCAAGCCTTGGAGTTCTGCTTTATTTGTTTCTGTTGGAACCATGACAGCTGCTCCATCACTGGAGGCTTTCAAAAAGAGACTGGACAATCATTTGTCTGAAATGGTATAGGATTTCCTGCTCAAGCAAGGGGTTGGATTAGAAGACTTCCAAGGTCTCTTCCAACTCTATTATTCTATGTTCTAGAATTTATAAGATGACCCACTCACATTCAATAACTCTAGGAGACTTACAAAAAATTAAAACTCAGAAAACAGAGTTAAAACAGTAACCCCCTACCCAGTGATGGGATTCAGCCAGTTTGCACTGGTTCATCAGAACTGGTACCTAATTTTTTGTTGAGTTCGGCAAACCAGTTATGATAAATCTGAGTTCTTCTGCAGCCGCTTGTGGCTGCACGCCATGTGGTGTATCATGCTGCTGCCGCTGCTCATGGTAGGAATCTGCGTGGCTCTTTGCGCTGATTGCACTGCTGCTGCTGCTTGTGGCAGGATGCTGCAAGGCTCTTTGTGTCAATTGCACTGGTGCCACTGCTTATGGCAGGATGTTGCATTGGTCTTTGCGCTGACTGTGCCACTGCCACTGCTCATGGCAAGTGGCCATGCAATGCATCATGCTGATCGTGTTGCTGTTGTTGCTTGCAGCAGGACGCAGTGTGGCTCTTTATGCTGATTGTGCCAGTGCTGCCGCTTGTGGCAAGAGGCCATGCAGTGCATCATGCTGATTGTGCCATTGCAGCTGCTTGCAGCAAGACGCTGTATGGCTCTTTGCACCGATTGTGCCGGTGCTGCTACTTGCTGCAGGAGGCCACAAGGCTTGTTGCACCAGTCGCTGCATGATTGGTGTGACAAGCCTCGCAGCCTCCTGCCTCATGGCCTCTTGCCGCAGTGAGAAGATGATTAAGGATAAATGACACAGCCGATGATGCTCGGATAAAAGTGAAGAAAATTGCAATTGAGGATGCCAATCAAGAAGCAATAGGGAAATATCTTAAATAACAGTATTATTGTTTTTTGTCAAGTATTATTTAATATTTTTTCATTAATATTTAAAACTCTTATAACATAATCTAGTTTTGTGTACCTCTTTTATTTTTCTTATTTAAGTATTAAATGCATGAAATAGTAAACTACCTTTCGGTATATCAATTTTTTTATACTTAAAATGGTCATTAGGGCACAGAACCGGTTGTTAAATTATTTGGCTCCCACCACTGCCTGCACCCGGCCCTGGAAATTATTTTATGAAAGTAATCCAACAAAGACTTCAACTGACCCAAAAAGAACAGGCCAGTTTCTGATCTGGATGATAGTGCTGTGACTAAATATTAGTGTTAAGAAACACCTCAGCTGAGGAAAGAAGCTCTGTTCATTGACCTTGCAGCAGTATTTGACAGGATGGGGCCGACACTCTGAAAGGAATTCATTGAAGATGTGCCTATTGAAATAGTATCCTTTCTGTATGCACGTTTATGAGGAATCACATCATTCTGTTTCTGTTATTGGTGGGATGTCGAAATGTAGATACTGGTGTGAGATAAGGCTGCATTATCCTTCACTTGCTATTCAACATTGTGATGGATGCAGTCATGTAGAAAGTTGGCACAGTGTCAAATTTGGACATGCTTGCTGATGGCAGGGTGATTTTTGTAGATAATGAAAGAGACATCCCATTTAAAGTTATATTTAAAAAAACACACATGTAATTAGAGCAGAAAATAGCTACCTCAACCAATATCAATAATCACATTGGCCAAGCTGTTGCAGTTTTTGGAGTATGAGCATTTTGCCCTTGGTGAAAAAGGCAGCATAAGCACATATGTACATCTATTAAAACTACTGATCTTATTGTACAATACATAATTTGAAAAAGCTCAATATTTTCTAAATGGGTTGCCTACCCCAAATATTAGAATTTCAGTCTACGAGAAAGTACAGAATGAAGCGATTAAATAGTGAGGCTGTGATCAACCTATGTCAGCCGATGAAATTCAGAAGCATCATGTTCAATCATTTGGACACATTTCTCACATAGCCCCATCCTGACTTCAATTGCTCTGCAAATCACAATCTATAGGCTGGAAAACATACTAATCTGCTTCCCGAAACTTGGCTGGGCCTGACAATGCCAGTGCAATTGCACTCTTTGAAAATGCCTCATGTCTAATTAACTACAGTTTATATGCTTGGTTGTAGGTGTATTTGGGGTTTTCACCTGAGAATATTACTTAATATGTCCTTGTGTGTTTGACCACATCTCTACAATCTTTTAAAGCTGTGGAGATTTTAATCTATGTCCTGACTGACTAAAGGGATAAACCTGGTCTTGCCATCCACATGGCAGAGAAGGAAGAAAGATGCTTCCTCCCCCCAAGGATATTTCTTTAATATGATTTAATTTTATATATGTTCTTCCCTCTCTTAGCATTTTCCCAAATTAAACAAAAATCTGATTCTGTTCCCCATTGAAATTTGCAGTGTTAACAGTGCTCTACTTACATTGGGTCTCTTAACCAAAACCCATTACGAGATCAGTCTGTTCTCTATGAGAAAATGTATCACTGCATCTTTCCAGCTCTCTGTATCAGGGATGGGGAATTATGGCCCCTTTACAATCTGTGAACTTCAACTCCCAAAATTGAAGTTCACAGATTGTAAAAAGGCCATAGTTCCCCACCCCTGCTCTATAGGTATGTTCAGCTTCTGAATTTAATTTCTGTCTGAAACCAGGCCTTGATGGAAGGCCAATTCTGATGACTATGCAAATTTGGCCCCAGTATAAGGTGCTGATGATTACAAACAGCAACAAGACATTAAGTATATGACTGCTTTACTTTTTCTTGAAATGTGTATTCATTTTATTCTATAAATTTAGCTTTTAATGTGGCTGTTCCTTTGTTGCTGTTTTAGTCACTGGCATTTAAATATATATCTTGTAGCTTCAAGGAGGCTTTGCCTTGGAAAAAATAGTGTAAAAATAGTTCAACTAAATAAACCACCAACTAAATATGAAGAAAATGACTCATTAGTTGAGATATCTCGTGTAAACACACCCTTGATGACAATATTTAACAATTATTCTGACCAGCTGAAAATTATGGACATTGGATTAAAATAGGCATTCATAAAGATGTCAGTGACATTTTTGCTACATTTTCATGTGCAGATGTCTCTGGCTTTAGTTCCATCCTGGTTTGTGAGTTATTTCCACATTCCTTGGTAATCACTTCTCCAGAAAACTGGAAAGAAGCAAAAGAGGGTAAGAAGCATTCATAATTATTTCTTTCTAAGTGCTTCTCCATGCAACCTCTTCCTTGCATGGCTAGTTTCAATGTTGAATGCAAATCAGGAGTCATCTGGGGCAAGAGATGGAGAAATCATCACAAAATGTGAATTTGAGCAAAACCTGTATATTTTCATACCCTGAAAAAGGAAAGAAGGGAAGGAACATCAAATGGCAGAATTTGCTAAGCCAGTGGTTCTCAACCTGTGGGTCGGGACCCCATTTGGGGTCGAATGACCATTTCACGGGGGTCGCCAAACAACGCAGTCCGCCATTTTTTTCCCTTTTCCTTAGCTGTGCTACTCCCTTTTATTCTATTGGCTTTTGAAAGAAAGCCAATAGAATAGACTCTCTTGAATAGAGTCTAATTCTATTGGCTTTCAAAAGCCAATAGGAATTATCCAGGCTGTCTCTGCCCTGCTGAGCCCGCCAAAAGTCCCATTCTGCAAATGGTGCTGCACCAGTTGAGTAGTCCTCGACTTACGACTGGTTGAGTAGTCCTCGACTTACAATCGGTTGGGGGTCACGGCATTAAAAAGGTTGAGAACCACTGTGCTAAGCTGAAACAGAAAGGCTATCCATCTGCATTATTCTATTCTGCTCCCTTCTGTCCTGTCCCGTCCCATCCTGTCCCATTCCTTCCTAGTTTATTCTAATTTGATTTCCTAGGACACTATGAAAGGAGAGTATATAGCAGGCATAACCAAACTGTTGTCCCTCAGACATTTTGGATTATATTCCCATTTCCCATATTCCCTGACTGTTGGTCATGTTGGCTGCAGCATATGGAAACTGACATTCTGTTAGGAGGTTTAGTTTTGTAATTCTCTGTTGCAAGAAAAATATGGGTTAGATCCAAGAATGTTCCTTCATCAGTGGAAAGCACATTTCCCACAAAATGCCTCCCTCTTTCCCTTCTTGGTAGCCAATCTTCTGCAAAAAAGTGGGGGAGTTGGCACATGAAATTTGGATGGTGTGGCATGGAATTTTATCTGTTTATTTATTTGTATCCTGTCTTTATTATTTTTAAAAATAATTCAAGGCAGCGAACATATCCTATACACCTTCTTCCTCCTATTTTCCCTACAACAACCCTATGAGATGAGATGGGCCGAGAGAGAGTGACTGGCCCAAAATCACCTAGGCAGCTTTCATGGGACTAGAATTCACAATCTGGTGCCTTAATCAATACCCATATCGCAAGGAAAGAAAGATTAATGAAAACTGATCTCATGTCATTCCTTTGTCTTTTGCATATTATGTTGCAAATATGTTCTTCCATCAGTGAAATGTACTGTCCCTTCTATAGCTGTAAAATGTAAAGTGATAGTTTCACACAATTACAATAAACCTATTACTAATGTTCAAAAAATCTGGGTGCTTAGAAACCTCCAACCTTATCTTGCAGATCCTTGGTTCACATTGTTCCAATAAGAATGTTGTGATACTTCTAGCCTCTGAGACTGTCTCCTTTTTTTTTACAAATATAGAAATAATTTGCAGTATCAAAGGAATATTTAAAGATTAATTTTACTCTAAAAATGGAAGACATCTTTGGAAAGGGCAAGAACAGATTATGGATTTCTACGCCATCTGTTTCCTGCAAGGATCCTTCTAGCTCCAAATTGACCCTCTGATATCTATTCACAGTACCCATGAGTCATTCATTAGAGCATTTGAGTCACAGGCAATATCAATTTCAAAGAAATATTAGTA